GTGTGTGTGTGTGTGTGTGTGTGTGTGTGTGTGTGTGTGTGTGTGTGTGCATGAATGAACTGAACAAAAATCACTGAACATAAATCAATGAAGGCATGTTACCTTCTTAATGGAACGTCTGCACAGGAAAGTCATTTGGGCTGCTTTATCCACTCAAATAAAACCCGAGTCGCGGTACCTGGTTAAAACTCAGTCGTGCGTTCCTGCAAAAGAAGCGGCATGCATGTATTTTTTTTTTTTTCTTCTGAACAATCAATGACGACTGGCAGGAGTGAGCCAAATGCCAAGAATAATCACATCAGAAGCGCACAAAAATAAATAATATTCAAAATAATGACAATGTATAAATTAATACAGTGTTACCTTGAATTAAAAGTTTCATCCATTCTTCTTTTTTTTTTTTCCCAATAGGTTTTGGTACTTACATCATCACAGAACACGGATTTGGAAAGAACGGTCTTCATTCAGGCGGCAACACAGCTGAAGATTGCGAGCAAGTCAAATTGTGGCTCACGGCACAAAGCGTAAAAATATCGACCAAGTGACGTCTCGTCACTTGAAAAGTGGGAAGTTGTAAGGGCTGACAAGCCAACGTACGACTGTAAAAATACATGTGCGGAGGCCTCATGACAAAACACATTCTTCCGTGTGGATCTAAACAGCGCTCCGAGACCCACGTGGTAGAACCGACACTTTGCTACGGCACACTGGGCTATCAAGCAAGGCAACCACGCGAGCCCCACGCATCACCTAACGGGTCCGAGAGAGTCGGGGATCGGCCCGCGCGCTAATTTTTTTTTTTTTTCTTCACTTCTGACGAGGACTTCGAGGACCCGTGAAACGGTTTCAAGGATCAATCAGTCTTTGCTCTCGGCCCGCCTTCTCCTCACCAGTGTGGAGAAGAAGCTTCGGCTCTGCTGAGGACCCATCAGCATGGGAGCTTGGTTCTTGTGGATGATCTCGATCTGGCAAAAATAAGTACAGTGCAGACATTCAGGGTGTCTGGATTTCAGAGCCGTTCATTGGCCGCGACCCTGCTGTAGGTGTGTGTCGGATTGTGTTTTAGCAATCAGTAGACGCAATTCCAAATTGAGAGTTGCATTTTGTTTGGAGAACCGTACGAGCAAGAGTCTTCTTTTCATGTCCTCCTGTTCCCGTTACACAATTTCATCTGTCTCCACGCGACACGAGTGTTTTTCTCCCTCACTTTTCCACAGTGAAACACCTTGTTTGAGCTTTGTCTTTTAATCACGACGGGCCTCTCAAGGCTGAAAGCGCGGCACGCATTTCCATCCGCAGCCCGACGAGGCGTAGTGTGACCAAACGAGCGGCCGCGAGGGTTCTTCCAGCGATTTCCACACCGGCTCCTTCTTCACGCGGCGTGCGTTGTTTCAACGCTCGCAGAAAACATCACAGTCCAAATGGGATGTTAACCCACTAATTATTAACAACAAGTATGCAAATGCCGCCGCATGAATAAACATATTGACGAGTGTCTGTCAGGGCATTTGCATTTCTGAGCGACGTCTGACATGTTTCTCGTTGGCTTTGATGAACAGGTTGCGTGATGTTACGCTCTTTTCACGTGTGATTGCACTAATGGATGCTAATTATTCTTTCACTTTTACGAATTGCAGAGCACAAATTAGCCACCATCCAAATATGATTTTGTTGAATTTGTTAGGCGCAAATTCAACTATAAAGTTGACATGAAATCAAAAGTTTCAGAATGTGACGTCTCTCCACGGCAATACGCAGCGAGATCATTTTGCAGATTGGCCTTTTTTTTCTGATAGGGAATATTCGTGTCACGACTTTGTCGAGATACAAGTTCGTCGCTTGGGTCGTTTCTTTTGTCTTCCGATCGGCCAAATGCACAGACAAAAGATGCGTGGAAAAAATAACTTACAGTGCATGGAGTCTGCATCCAAGGTTCACCATCAATCTGCATGGGAAGTGATTTGCTGGTTCTGCAAGAGAGAATTCAAAGTTATCACTTCAAGGCTGAAATGGTGAAAATGGAGAATCTGAGTTTGTTGATTGTGATGCTGGTAATTCAGTCAGTGGCTGCCTAAACGGGCTGCCATAGAAATGCTTCATAAAACATGACAGGAGGAAATAGAAGTTTGGCGCAGAACCAGTCAAAGAATTAACCAGCAGGTTAATTTTGACCAAAATAGCTTGCTGCCTAAACGGGTTGCCAAAGAAATTCTTTGAAGTTTTGTTGGAACCTTTTTCAAAGAATTCAGCAGCAGTCAGCTTGTTAATTTAGGTCAAACTAGTCAATACCTAAACAGGCTGCCACAAAAAGAAATTCCGTTTTTGAATATTTTATTCTCTTGATGATTCGCACAAACCTAATGGTGACGGAGGAGCACTGTGCCAGGCGTCTTCCGGCGCTCTTCAGACCGGTGTAGATTTGTCCCATCTCCATGGCTCCCTCCAGCCCGACCACCTCCAACAACTGATCGGACAGGTCTGAAACACAGAAATGTGGTCAGTGAAGACAAGAGAGGTGGAAAAAAGCCACCATAGAAATAGAAACTCGAGAGATGAAGCTTGAAGGGGGACTATTGTGAACTAAAAACCAGTAGGTGAATTCCCACCCATCTAGTTGCTGTCCAAAAGCAAAGTGAAAGTTTTTAGAGAGTTTAGAAGAAGTCAGTGCCCCCCCGCCCCAAAAAAAAGTGCGATAAGTGTTCCACACAGTCGTGTTTGTAAGCAAAAAACCTCTTGAGAAAAGTCAGGTGTAAGAGAACAAAAGATATCGCCGCTCCTCACTTGTCGACATCTGCATCTGAGACACGTAAACGGCGAGTTACGAACAGCAGTGCGTCAATTAATTAGATTGCACCGGCAATGTCAGGCAATCTTGTGATCATATCATTATTAATTTGCACTGATGTGTATTGATTTTGGCCCTGTTGGAGGCTGGGTGTCACGCGGGGTCCCATCTGCTTCAGCCTCCGACGCTTCCCTCCTCGAATTAAAGAGCCGCTGCCTTCCCGGTTGGGAGTGCGTTCACATTAGCTCCAAACCTGTCGCGTCTGCTTTCCTGTGGCTGTTTGTTGTTGTCGCAGCCGTCACCATGGTGATGGACAGGCGTCGCTCTCTATCTGGGGCTGTGAGTGAGCTGCTTTTCAGGGTCACACTGTGTGTACATACACGGATGACATCGGGCTTCCCTCCCCCCCTTTCCCCTGTTTTCTCACCCGAGTGCAAACGCTTTCACGCAGGTGACGTGCACTGTGTCCCCACGGGCAGGGATTCTTTTTCTAGCCCCAGGCAACAAAGATTCAAAATAGCAGTGTGGGAATAGAGACATTCTGCCAGGGGAACAGATGAAGTCATAGCTAGCTGACTAAACAGGCTGCCATAGAAATGCAAAATATATTTTGAGAAAATGCTGGCATTTTGGTGCGGGACCATATGATGGACAGGCGTCGCTCTCTATCTGGGGCTGTGAGTGAGCTGCTTTTCAGGGTCACACTGTGTGTACATACACGGATGACATCGGGCTTCCCTCCCCCCCTTTCCCCTGTTTTCTCACCCGAGTGCAAACGCTTTCACGCAGGTGACGTGCACTGTGTCCCCACGGGCAGGGATTCTTTTTCTAGCCCCAGGCAACAAAGATTCAAAATAGCAGTGTGGGAATAGAGACATTCTGCCAGGGGAACAGATGAAATCATAGCGAGCTGACTAAACAGGCTGCCATAGAAATGCAAAAAAATATTTTGAGAAAAAGCTGGCATTTTGGTGCGGGACCATTATGAACAACAACTGGACTGGAAGCAGGTTGATATAGACCAGAATTCCTTTGCGCCCGAAAAGAACTGGCAAAAGAATTATTTCGACTGAGTTGGTGTGAACGACAGCGACTAGCAAGTCAATTCAGACTTACTCGCTGCTTAAATGGGGAGTCATCGAATACTCAAGAAAAAAGGATGGGGTCCTTGTGAACTAAAACCAACATGCAATTTTATTCAGACCCCTACCTAACTATTTGCTGACTAAACGGGCTGCCATAGAAATACGATGACAGAGGCAGCTCAATTTGGGCTTGCTGTCTGAAAAGGCTGGCGTA